TCCTCCTCACAAAAAAAAAAAAAAAAAAGCTTTTGATTTTATTTTGATTTTATTCATCTTATTACAAATACTTCATGTAATTTAAATTAAACATAATAAAAATATGAAAATATCATTCAACTTGAAGTACAGCTCTAATAACTAAGTTCCAAATGGAGCTATTTAAAGTAAGAGAGGTAGATCTCTGAACTGGGCTTGCCTGCACGCAATTTAAAACTCAATAATGTAGAGTGGTTTCTCAAGCCCCTTCCAGTACGCTAAATATCTGCTTCTTCTGGCTAAAAAAGAGGCTATCCCTGAGACTCCATGGAAACCCCAGGCTCTTCACAAGCCGTGAACATTTGGTGTGGGGGTGGAAGTAGATTACAGAGTCTCTGGTTATCATTTTGTTTTGTTTTGTACAATTCTGGAAAAAAACTGAAAACACTTTAAAACAAAAAGGTTTTTAAAAAGTAAAGGTAAAGCTTATGTAAGATGTTAGACAAACTCATCTATTTACAGTGGTAGCACAATGCCGGGCACAAGCAAGTCGTCCACAAGTCAGAGCTTCTGTGATTGCCATTGGCTCACCCTTCCATACACTGAACACATAACTTCTTAAAGAGGTTAGAGTAATTCAGTATTTGTTATACACACATTCAGTAGATTAATAAGAAAACTAGTTAACATTCCCAGATAGTAACAAAACTAACAGTAACAGAACTAAGGCTCTCTCCTTACCTAAAACTGGTTGGCTCCGTTAGATAATGCATTCTGATAATAAAATGAAAACAAAGCCATCCATTTTTACAAGGGTACCAATGACTTTTTTTGGTAATGTGGACAATGATAGTATTCTTAACTTTAGTCATAATGTCGGGTGGAAAGATTAAGTAAGCTCATTATCTCTAATGGAAAAACAGTTAAAAGCAAATTTTAACCTGTTAAGAACAGGTGTATATAATAATTGGATAATTTGCATCATCTCATCAATCTTTTACCATGACTGCTAAACTCAGCAGTATGCATATATCTCTTACACAGAAACACAAAAATGTAAGTCTGGTAAACTATTTCACAGTTAATAACTAACATCTTCATCATTCTAAATACTCCAAGAGCTTCATTTTGACAAAAATACCTCAGAAAATGTCTTTGACACAAGTTCTGGCAAATAATGCTTACCATAGAAGTTGTAAAATTCAATAGTAACAAAATTCACTTTTATAATTAAGATGGAAACCAACCAACCAACCAAATGTACATTAAAAAAAAAGAACAACAACAAAAACAAAACACCTGGTACTCTGACTCTAGATGGAAGACAACTTGGGGAGCAGACAGAAGTCCAACAAATACTGCAAAAAAGTTGAGAGAGTATAACAAAGAGGCAACAAATACATTGAGAGAAAAGCATGCAGACCACTGAGAACTTCAGTGCAAGTCAGACAGGCTCACAAGGTTTTAATCAAAAGGTGGCCAATTAGAATATGACCTGAATTCTATTACTTTGCTCACAAAATAAAAAATTAAAAGGGGTAATAGAAATAAATTAGAATCCCCCCCACCCTGCATTCAAATACTACAACTGTTCAACTCTCTAACAAACAGACTTTTGGTAATTAACATTTAAAACCATGCATTTCCTTGATTTAAGTAATTAAAGTTGCTGCCAACACCATACCCAGATGACCCTCACTCTTCAACAAATCTATAAATTCATCATATTACAAATCTAAACTCCACTCCACCTTTCACTTCTCCTGAAAACTGTCTTACTACTTTGACTTTATCAAACAGTTATTTCTAAAACTTAAAAAGGAAAAGAATACTGTGCCCTCCTTCTATCCCAGTATATTGTAACCATTATGAGAAACAATAGGAACCATGCCTCAATGGGAATTAGCCTATCTCCACAAATATGCTAGAAATTCTTAAAAAAGACTAGCTAATACTCTGATTAGAAGCAAAATCATCTGAATCAAGGATTTCCATGCACAATCACTACTTTGACATTTTAGGATATATAATCTGACTAACATAACTCTTAGTTATTATATACCTACTTATATTGGTCTATCTTTCCGTCTTGTTACTATTATTAGAGTATATATATATTTTTAAAAAATACAATTATTTTTGAATGCACATCTAAAAATAATTTCCACAATGGATACAGATCAATATAACTTGAACATATTTTTCATATATTCAGTACTGCAACAAACTCCAGATTGTTAAAGAACTGCCTCAGACCTTGATCAGGAAAAATATCCCAAAGGCTCAATGGTAATTCAGAAATCATGTGGGAAAAGGGGAAGGAAAAATTACCCTAAGGATAGAAGGGGCTTAGAAAAAAGAGTCAAAAGACGATCAGATTTGGGCAATAACAAGAAATGTTTCAAAACACAAATCTTCAGATTTGGGCACTGATTTTTTAAAACAAGATATGGAAACACTATCAGGTACAAAATAAAAATAACTTCAATCTTTATTGATAAAATGGAACTGTAGAGAATTGTATATTTAATATTTAGTTACATTTTTACCTTGAAAGAAGGAATGAGAAGGTAAAGGCAGTAATCTAAAACGTATATGTTTCTTAAGTTACTTCAATTATTTTATTTTAATATATACCACCATCAGAAAAGAGCAAGCTCTATTTTATGCTTCATTCAAGAAGTTGATAGATAAAGTGATTTCAGGGCAGATGCTATTAAAAACAATTATCCTCAATACTCTTGGCTGCATATTAAGAAACAGTTTTATGTTTTTCTCCATTTCAGAACTGACTCAATTCAGACCTCCTCCATCTGCCTAATTCCAAATTAGTAATTTACTGGAAAAGCATCTGAAATTAGTATTTGCCTTTTATTATATGTACTCTTTGATGAGATTAAAATTCTATAAAACTTTTAAATAAAACAATGTAACTATATAAGAGAAATATAAATTAATATTCTATTAGATTAAAATAACAACTTGATAAAATACCTCCAAAGGGTTTCAGATTATAACAAATACCATACAATCAACCCAAAAATGTGTTACCCAGCATGGCTGATTTTACATATTAGACTCCCAAAATAATGTTATAACAAATTACATTTAAATTTGGGAGATTCAGCCCCAAAATATGGGATTATATTTAAGATACATGTATATAGTTAAATTTAAGCTAAGTATTTCTTAAACATTAAATTCTATTAAAATCCTTAAACTTAAGTATTGATCTCATTAAGTATCTTCTGGTTTCAAAACCAAGAACTTCTGTAATTATATTAAGCTCTAACAATTCCTATATAGTAGAAATACAATATAAGAAAGAAGCAGGGAGAAGGAAGGAGATTAAAGTGACAAAATGGTAAGTATGTCCAGGGAATATGATAGTAAACAGCCACACAAAAGAATTTAGACAGAGAAACCCTACCTCCCATAGATGTTACCTAAAAGTATTTATGAAGAGGAATTACATATTAAAATAATGTAATTAGACATCAAAATGCTTACACCCTATAAAGGCAAGCGTAACTACTTGCAAAATGAATCCTTTTTACCTGATGCTGTTGGAGCTCCTCTCCCATCAGTTACTCCTTTGGAAGAAGGATTTGTAAGCATCTGTTTATCTTCCTTTTCTGCCCTGGGACATTCATTATGGTAAGAGGGGTCTGGGGCTAGCGGTGCTGCAACTTCCGAACCACGACTTAAGTCAAGAGGGAGATAAGGTCCCAGCTTCTCAAGTGACAAATGTGCAACATCAGGCACTACACAAAATAAAGAATGTAAAAGAACATTAACATACGTAAACTTAATATCAATGTGGATTCAAGTGTTACATAAGTTCAACAGTGCCTGGCACAAGGTGGCACTCAATAAGTATCTGTAGAATAAATGAAGCGCTTATAAGTCCAAAAGATGTTAAGAAAGAAAAAGCAGAAATTTCTTAATATTTTAATAATCTTTATCTATTAGTGTTTTCTTTATCTTCTTTTATGTTTGGTTCTATAGGAAATCAATATACATTACCCTCTGGTACTGAAGATTCTTGCTGATTTTGAGAACTGATGGAGAATACTTTCCCATCAGTGGCTGGAGAGGGAGGAGAAATCTTTTCTACAGAATCATCAGGCATGGGCAAGGTGGCTAAACGCTGAGATCTTCTTCTCCGCTCACTATGCTTGAAAGGTCTAGGGGGGTTCACAGGCTGTGGAGGACCTAGAAAAAGATCTTCAATGTTCACGAAGCAGATACATGCCAGGATCATCTTATAATATTTAAGGAGATAAACAGGAAAAATGATTCAAATTCTGCCCTCTGATGTTGTAAGGTATCCACAAGGAACGGCTTGTTCCAAAAGTAATCAAAGGCAAAAACTGTGCCCTCATTCACAGAGAGTTAATCAAAACTTCTAAAATCTAAAGCCTACTAGAACCAAAAGAAAATAACATGGAACACTAAGTTCAGGTAGTTTCCCAACTGACAGACCACAGTTAATTCTTTAATTGCAGATCGTTGTGTTAGTTGCCATTTTTCCTTAGGGAAAATAGTCTCTGTATAGCCAAAGATTAAAAAAAAAAAATATATATATATATATATATATATATATATATATATCCCTTTTGCTACATTACAAATCTAGAAATTCTAAAGAAAAAAGAAAAAACAGGGGGCATAGGTGACAAAAATTGGACACGCATTGTAGAGTTAGTGCTTTACTCGCCAAAGTAAAACTAACGTAAATAATTTATCCCACCCTCACTCCCCCCAATGGCTTTTTATAAACATATGTTTGGGCCTGATTCATTAAAAAAAAATTGAACACAAATAACTTTAACTACTTATTATGGGCTAATAATGAGGATTTTAAAAGAATATGACACTGTTCTTTCCCTCATGTGTTTTATTTTAACTAACTTGTTGAGTCATTTAAGCATCTTCTGGCTATAACATAGAAGTTTGGAAATTTCTGTCCTTTTTTAACCTTTAGTTTTCTTCTTTCTACATGGCATGTAAACATGTTTGATTATTGAGAATAGGCAGGATTACATAGGCCAATATATTCATGTTCATTTAGAAGGATGTAATAAGAGTGGTCTACAGAGGTTGATGCTTCGAGTATTTAAAAATAATTTTACAAAAATCAAAATTAAAAAGACATGGTGATAATTGAAAAAAATGAAAGAATAAAATCCAATTGCTGTAACATTGTGGTTATAATACCAAAATACAAAGCAATTTCAAAATAAAATACTTATCCATGTCATCTAACATAGTAATGACTACTAATGACATTATTTCATGATAAATGCCATAACGAAATGAAGCTTATTATGAGGAAACATTTTTTCTGTTCCCATTCTTTCTACTCATTTAATTAAAAAGAACGAAACAAAAACAAAAAAGTACCAAAACCTGATCAAAAATTGAAAAATATGGTTTGGTAGAAAATGAGGCAACTAAATAGAAGAGGAGGTTAATATATTTGATTGATAAAAGTCTTCTCAATACCAACATATTTAATTGTTGTAGAAGATATAATATGGAAGAGTTCATAAGGATACAGGTCATATTCATTTACTAATCAGGTTACTAATTCATTTGTTGTATGAAGAGCAAAAGAAAAGTATCTTTTACCCACTTTGCAGGTAACTGTTTTATGTATGTCTCTAACTTAGAATTCTAAACTAATATGAGAAACACAGGTCAACACAAATCTTGTCTTTTCTATATATCCAAACCCACGCCGAAAGGCTATTTTTAAAAAGACTAAGTTAACTCTTGAAAGATCAGTGGTATTGAAACAGTAAAATCTTCAAAGACAAGATCAAGGAAGTACTCTTCTTTCATTAGTAAGATTAAACTGAAGTTTGCACTCTAAATCCTAGCATAAGAACAAATAAAAACATACTGCAGAGGGGTGTAGACAAGTGGGGACAATAACTAATCTATCCAGAAGAAAGTCTTAGAGGAGTTGAGGACAAACGTCCACCTTGGGTCTTTTTATCTCTCTTTCTGGGTTTTTTTCTTTTTTGTAATGAATCAGGCCTCTCATTGTGTTTGGTTTACTAGTTGAGGAGAGTCAAACTACAGTGAATCTGCATTATTAAACGGTAAGGCTTTGCAACCAGCAGTACAGTCCCTGTACAACAAATCAGTCAGAACTGTATATGGTTTTTGCCCCTGAAATAGTTTCAAGCCTTCCCTATCATATCCACTTGAGTTTTTAAAAAGCAACTTCATAAAAATACAATATAACTACAGTCAAACTGTTTTTAATGTATCTTATAGGATAAGTAACTATTTTTTAAAAATCTGTGCTCACTAGTTTTATTTATCACTGAAGAAGAAAGCTGAGATACAAGCGTCAAATCCTCGACTTGTATTAATTCTGGGGAAAGTGGTGATTTAGGGGGTTTTATACACCCAGAAGAATCTCCAGATTCATGTTTGCATTTCTTGCTGCGAGCCTTCCCTGAAGACAAAGTTGAGGATAACAGTGCAGGTTTCTGAGTGTTGGCAGAACTGCTAATGTCAGCTTCATTTTTTTTCTGACTTTGAGGTTTAGGTGAAATCGCCTGAATAAATAATAAAAAATTGATATTTTTATTTTGGTTTCTTCATTTTTGTTCTTGTATTCTATTTTGATTGTTAAGCAACTTTAGTATCCAAAAACATTGTTAAGCAACATATAACATTTCTATTACAAATGAAAAACCAAAAGGAACCCCACAAATTATTAACTAAAAGTTGAATACGCTGTCTTTAATGGGATGCTGTCAACTTTTAGTCTGGACTTGGTTTTTTAAAAATATAATATTCATATTTTCAGAATATAAAATGTTATCTTAATGGACAAATATCTTCAGTATTAAACTGAAACATACCTCTTTGAAACCATAATTACCAATGACAATAATAATTAGGTAAATAAACAGAATTTTCATGTTTTTGAGCATTAGAGGAATACACTTAAGCTTTTGACTTTCAGATGTTTTCTTATAAAATAATTTCCTTTATCAAGTTGAATGTGGAGGTCTAAGTAGACAGTTTCCCTTTAAAGAAAGATCTCAACAGGAAAACAATGACCAAATTAACAAAACATTATCTTTAACTCATTTTAGTGCTGAAAGCTAGAGTTTCATAAGCATAATGCATCATGAAATCAAAGCTACCAGCAATACAGAGTTAAAAGACTAAAAAAACAATACAAAACAGGCAACAAAAAAAAAAACCAAGAAGTAAAACCAAGTGTAAGTTAAAAACATTGGATTTAAAAACAAAATACGTCGCATTCTTAGATGAGAGTTTTTACCTTCTTCCTGCCAACTGATACTTTTAAAAAAAAATTAGAACTTTGTCAGTTCTTTCATAAAGAATATCTTTATTCATTTGGCAGTAAAATTTCCTACATATGTAAAAATATATGTGAATGTGTCCAAAGACAACAGAGAATAGCCACATTGGATGGATTTGCAATCTATGGTGTTGGAATGCCTCTACTGTATCTTTCTGATATACGTATCTGACAGCAAAATATGAGACACGTTTTCTTAAAGCTATACTAAGATAAGCCTCTAGAAAGAATCAAATTGCTAGCACTATGAACAACATGCTTGTCCTCAAGAAACCTTTTTACTTCTATATCTTTTGCGAGGGATGACCATCAGGTCTGCAGTCTGCAGTTCTCTGGTACATGAAAGATCATTGTCTGGGGACCAAACAGCTTTCTGTTCCCACTAAAATACAAGGTGCTCAAATTCTGGTGGGAAAAAAGTGTGCATTTGGTATTAAGCAGGGCACTTTTGAATGCTCTATAGATGGCATGTTGAACATACCACATAAAAGGGCTGGTGTGAAGGGTCCCATTCAGTTGTCATCATTTCTATTCTTGAATTTACTCATTACACGTGTATAAGTGCAGATTAATCATTTGAAAAAGTACTCCATATATGGAAAGGATTCCTAAGCTTATCATAAAAGGTGTTGCCAGAAAAGTAATTAGAGCCATTACTTGTAAATAAACAATTTTATTGTTCATCTTCACATATGTGAGAGACATCACTACAGCATCCATTACTCTCGAGTTACAAAGTTATAAAACAAGATTTTAAAACTTAAATTAATATCTTGATAAGGTGCTTAACTTCTAAACAAGGACAAATTAACATTTTTAAAAACTTACTGAATTAAGCATCTAATGCAGGTTTTATCCAAAAGTAAATATAACATGACAATTCCCTAATACAATTAAATAATCTATAATTAATAATGTAAGAATTGGGGTTCAAGACCACAGAGTTTGAATTTTTTTTAAATGTAAATAAAATAAATTCATTAACATAGTAAGTTTTGGCTATAGGCCTGTTAATAGATCTATGTCACGAATGACATTATTTTACTCATTAGGACAACAGAGGTTAGCGACAATCAATACCTCTCCTTTAAGTCGACTGTTGATAGCAACTGAGATATAATTAAAAGTTTTATAACTCGGCTTTTTAACTCTGAAGCAGGGCAAACACTTAGCATAAAAATTAAGAGTTTGATTACAAAATATTTTCACATTGAAATCAAGCTGAATGACAAATAAAAAAGGGAACAGCATGACGTTCCTTAAAAATCTAAAATAATTTACAAAGTTTTCATTAATGATTATTGGCCTCTTTGTTACAAAACTGGCAAGGACTCTCAAAGATGTTTTAATTAGGCAAATAGAAACAGCCGAGTTACTCAATTTTTCTTTCTTCCTTTTCTTGAAACTCACTTTCAAAATGTTATTTTCTGTACCTCTCTCTGAAATGGGCACTGCCCTCTACACTAACTTCCACATATAATAAGTAATTTTCATAATCACATTCACCTTGGCAGGATTGTGCATAATGAAAGATTGACATTGTAATGAATTTTCCAGAAACATTTTATTACCCAAGTCCCTGATTTATTGCATTCTGAGAATACCATGAACAGTGGTGAAAATACAAAATACCATTATTATCTGGGATGTTGAATATAGTAATACACAGTAAAAAAGTCACTTAAAATTTGGTTGATATACTGACAATAACGGCAGAGACTTAACCGTTTGATGATCACAGAAAATCAGAAGTATGATTCGCTGACATATTAATCAATTTAAAAGACCATTGATCAAATACAACATTAATGGAGGCACCAAAACAATGCACTGTTATCAAATCAGGCCTGAAATAACCCTGAAAAACTCAATACAATATCAATTAAATTTGGACTATTTTTTAAAACGCATATAGAGAAGAGCAAAAGATACTCATTTTAAAGTCTTCTTTATTAGGCTACTAATAAAGAAAATGAAAATAATACAAAAAGGATATATTAAAACTACATTAAGGCTCAGATTTTAAAACAGGAGAACCAAGGAAATCCAGTTATGGCTATTACTGTGTTCTTATAGTCTTACAGTGCCCAAGAAGTTAAGCCCTTAGAAAATGTAAAAGCATGCACAGTTCATTATGTACAGGTATTGTAGGGAATCTGAAGGTAGCCAAGGCAAAATCTAGCAACTGCAACCTTCACTTTTAAATTCCTCTATTAGGTGGTTTAAAGACAGACCCTTAATAGTTTTTTTAAATTCTCTTTTTTTGTAGTTATTAAAATATACATCCTAGCAAAAATGTATGGCTCATTGATCAATTCATAAAACACAGTCAGTCTAACAACACCAATTGTTACAATATAAAAGAAACTTCTTACAAAAGAAGCTTTATTAGATGTCAAAAAACCCTGTTTTAACTCACAAATGAAAAGTATTTGTGTAAGGGTCTTTTTGTAAGCTAAAGGTGATCCAGCTGGAAGCTTATACCCTGGGATGCCTGTCTCCAGGCCTTCAAATGTTGGAGACAAAGGCTTTAATGCCAGTCTATCGAAAACAAATGCTAAAGAAGTCTGTAGTTTATCTCTGTATACCTTGGAGAAGGCAAAGTTAAAAATATATCATCAATTAAGTAGCTTCCTATTCTCACATCTGATCAAAACGGCAATTTCAATTACATGGATACTATAGCTCCGTGATCATTCCAGTTGGGAACCTTGAAAAAAATCAAATGCTACCATTTCATACCTGCTCCAGCATTGGAGCCGTTTCACTGTAGTCTTCCTTTTTTTCAGCACCATCCACCCCAACAGCTTTGGATGCCAACAAACCTTGAGAAAAATCGCACAGAAATTGCTTATTAGAAAAAATATTGACTCTTACCCTAATTAACTTCTCAAAAGTGTTAGCAGTTGAAATCCCCCATCCTTTTTAATATATAGGAAGTAAATATTCTCAAAGTTTACTTGTCAAAAATACAAAGACCCTTAATAAAGACTCAAGGGACTGAATTAGAACTTGAGAGTTAGTTACATAGTTGTTCATTTTTTATATTACTCCTAAAGATATCCTTTAAAAACCACATGCATACACATTTATTCTATAAAAATTTAAACTTCTATGGCTTAATGTTCAGAAACCTAAGACTGCTTAGATAGTTAATACTCAGAATATGGGCTTTGTCTATACAACTGAAATAAAATACAGAATTAAGATATGAGAAATCCTTCCAAACATCTAAAACATATAATCAGACTTTTGTTGTTGTTGTATTATTAGCTAAAAAAAATGCTCCTGATTTTTAATTTCACTTGGATCCTCTAACCTAAGCTTTGTAGGTTTATTTCTATACTCAGTTGTAGCTTATCTTTTTACAAAAGTGCCCAAAACACTGATGGATCCATTTTATGTTAATGGGGAAAAAAGTGTGAGTCCTTCCTACAACATTTGAACTTACTACTATTATAGACTCATTCTACAAATGATGAAATAATTTGGGAGTTCCAGTTTTCTTCAATGTATACCACTAATTCTCAATTTTAGAAGACCGAGTATTTTAACTGGAGTATATATAATTAACTTTGCAAGGCATTAAAACTCTGCTTTAATTTATAAATTAAAGGCATTTACTTGGTCAAGATTCTTTGCTAAGCATCTGACAGGTAACTTCAATGAAGCAGGTTTATAACCCTTATATGGTATTTATTTTTGCTTATGGCCACCAAGCACATAAAATGTCACCAAAAATCATTTTTGTGTCATTTCAAAGTTGGCCACACAAAATCTTTGCTTCAAAGGAAGCATGTTTAATAATCAACAACATAATAGTAAACTTACTGCAACAATTATACCACCTACATTATTGAAGCTATCTATAACATATTTAACAGGAGAAAAAAGGTACCCCCAAATGCCCCTAACTTTGAGCTATCCATGTGGCAACATCTCTTGACTTTTTCAGATAACTATCTCAAAGATGTTAAGTAATCTAAGCAGAAATTCAAATATTAAAATTGTATTCTTACAGCAGTACTAGGGCCAAGTATTAAATTAGGCAAAAAGCACCTCTGTTTGATTGGAAAGTTGAATACCTAGCACTTGGAATTGTAATTGAGAATAGAAAAGGCTGAGTGTAAAGCAATGATTTTGATACATCAATGAATGGTATTAAAACTGATATTTGGTCCAGTTTGAGATAACAATCTACATAGTTCGTTCAAGGCTCACACAATATCAAGTGTATATTTAAATGGGGAAAAAAACCCAATATATAAATAATTTTACAAAAATAGTTTATAAACCATAAATTCAATCCTCATTACATTAAACTTCTGAACATAATTTTAGATGACTGAAAAAGATGTGGCATGGAGTATTCCTTCAACATTTAAAACCACACTCACAGGTTCTTCACTAGCTAATATTTTTGAGAATCAATACTACTGAAATACAAAGAAAAATAATTAGGGAATCAAGTTCTTCCTTTGCAGTGAACTGAGTAGAAGTTCTACTTCTAAGGGCTATTCAAACAGGACAAATATTTATTATTCAATCTATTAAATATATCTTATATTTTGTTTCCTTTCATATAAGTGGTGGAGATGCTTTTTAAATCTCATCAATAGGTGGAATAAATCACAAACTACAACAGTAGAAATAAGGTACTACAAATTTTAAAAGAAACAAAATAATTCAGCCGCACTCTGTGAATTTAAATTAGGATATTACAAACCAAGTTAATTAAAAGCAATTCCTATTTAATGGTTTGTGAAGGAAAAATAAAGCTTTGTAATGTTCTTATAAAAAAGTAATGGGGCATTTAATAAAAACTACTTAAAATGAGATGAGAAAATACTTAGTGTCTAGTGAATTCAAAAGCCTCAAATGTGATCAGTAAAAAGCTTTTCATACTTTATATGCATACGAACTTATAAAAGAATTACCAAATATAAACAACAAAAGGAGACAAAAAATAAAATATGTCCTTGAGGAGCGGACTCTGACCACTGCTGCCTTAAGAGGCAGTCCAAAATCTGTTATCTTGACCTGCAAACATTCCAGGCAGAAATGTAATACCCTTAGAAAATGAGAAGAATTGGAAAAAAAATAGATACAAATGAAATTAACTTTAATTACTCACAAATATGTATTAATTATCAATATATTACTAACAGTTCCTCCTCCAGCAGAACATATCTATAATTATCTTAACAGAATGCATTATATAGTTTCAAAAAATTACTTAAATATCAGGTAGAAGTAGAATATCAAGTACTGATGAGTCCCACCAACAAAGTTAAAATTTCTCAATACTCTAATCTACTTCAGCTATGAAATATACAGTTGGTCTCTCGCTGCCAACAGGAATAAACAAAATAGAGACCAGAGCACCCTGGAATGGCCAAGGGGAGGAAAGAAAGAGCAAAGTGGTTAAATTCGTGGTTTACTTTTCATCCAGGGATTCCAAAACACAACATTCTTGCTGCGATTAAGCATCAAATATTCCTGATATTATTATTGATAAGATATTATTGGTCAATTCAAACCTCTGGGTTTTCAAAATTATTTTTAAAATTCCTTAAGCTGCACAAACAAATCTAAGCTGGCTGAACTTGTAGGAACTCCTAGAACTACTACAAACAGACCATGTACCAACTGCTGATGTTTCTTCTTTTACTCCCTTAACAACCTGTATTTTAAAGTCTATCCAAATTTGCTTGCAGTTTGCTTGCAACTTTGTCCCAAAGTATGGAATCTTGATTCTCTTTGTAAAATTGTGTACTCTAAATCAGTATGCATAAAGTATATAACCATCAATAAGGTATATTACATAATGAAAAATAAGACTCTGGAAGAACACGTATATATACTATGCAACTATAATTTCAATGTCTACTTATTTGGAAACTTTGAAAAAAGCCATCCTATACCATTCCCTATACAGGAATCAGGTTTAGAATCTCTGTAGGGTATGTATATGGGGAGGGGAACAGAGAGAGAGTGAATAAATACATAAATTAAATTTATCCAGTGGCTGGTCCACTTATATCCAGTTAGAACTATTTAAAAAATAAATAAAATGGAGTTGGGGGAAATACATCAGAGCAGGCTGAGATGCTGCCATGATCGCAGCCCTATTCCTCTAAGGAGTAAAGGGACAAAAACACACATATAAATCAGCATGATAAATTTAAAATACACCATAATTCTGAAACAAAATCACTATTTTATATTAGTTCTCATCTCTTTTTATGGTCTACAAATGAAATTTACTGTATAGAGACAAGCCTGAGTTTCAACCATCAAAGACAATCTTATAGGATCTGTTGTCATTTTGCATGATATAGTTGTGACCAAATCAGAAACAGACGCAGAGAGATGAACTATTAAAAGGATTAACATACATTTAAATATTTTGAGTAAATAAAGGTAAAAGATCATAACGGTTTCACTTTCGCAAAGTCTTATGCTCTTCTACTGCTACCAAACTATCACTTGTCCATTTGAGATTCACAAGGGGAAGTGAAGACACAGTCCCTCCACAGAAGCACAGGGTGTTACTAAGCAACCAGTATTAGAACTTCCTTGAAGCACATGGTAAAACAGTTCTTTTTTTCCCACTATTGTCTTTTCAAGGCCATGTGGAGATAATGCATCATTGTGTGTCCAGTAAGGCACATGTCAGAGTATACTGACTGAAACTAAAATCGGGTTATCCAGATTGTAGGAAAAACCGTGATGCTGGTAAGCTGGCAATTGCAGTGTCAGTGTCATTTCCATCTTCCTTGATCTTGGCTCCTCCAACAGTGCTGTTTCAATCTTGGTATCACAGGAGTTACAAGTCCTATTCCAACTTCTCCCACAGTACAAAGCACTTGATTCCATTATTCTAAGGCAAAACTGAAGTCTCAAGTTGCCATCATAATAATCACTTGGATAACATTGCGGCTTTCTCCAAAGCTAACAGTTTCTAAGGAAAAGGTGGAATGGGTGAACTGATTTGAAATATTTCCTGTCCTGGGGCTGAATATATTCTTTATCAGAGAAAGGCACAAAAATAATATTAACAAGTTGAAAGACTAAACATTCTCACCTGTTGAAACCAATTATAATCACTTAGATGAATACTATAATAAAACGGTTCTAAAGAACCTTCAGCTGCAGACTCATCTTTCAGTGGGCTTCCTCCACTCTTTAGAAAATGGTCAACATGTTTAATTTACATTTATTCTTGGATCTGTCAATGATATCAACCTTTTTCAAATTATTTAAATGAATGCCAACAAACGTTTATATAGCTTTATCAGGCCAAAGGCACTAAAAACCATTTTGTCCTTAAAATAAGAACCTATGACTGAATAAAGTACTTTAGCTCCTCTTTTAACATATACTCAGAAAAATTAAAAATTAAATATCTCACAATTTCTTTTAAAGACTATAATCATTAGGCTGAATAGGTCTTGGAAGTGATGGGGCCTACTACGACTGGCCTCAATTCTAAAACTTAAATCCCTTCTTCTACAAACACTACCCAGGCTAAGATATTCCGTGTTTTTCAGCACCCTAGCACTCTACTTTCTAAATTACAACAAAGCACAGAGAAACAAGCCCAGATACTAGAGACCAACCGAAGATAAGGATAGAAATTAGAAAAACATATAGAAGTACTTTTACATTGGGAAGTAACAGATTCAGAAACTGAATTTAATTTAGTATCCATCTTTCCAACCATATATGGTACCATCCTTACTGAGACTGGTCAAGAGTAAGAATGTTTGTATAATAACATTTAGAACCTCAGACATTATGTCACCACAGGTTGACAAAAGCAGATAATTCAATTCTTATAGATACTATTCCTACCACCAAGGTGATTTAAAAACTATGGAGTTTTGTAACATTTGATCCTATTGATCCTCACAACAGCCCTGTGAGGTAGGTAGAAGATATGTGATATTTTTCACATTTCACAACAGAAAAAGCTGACAGTATTGAAAGACGATGACCTTGAAGAAACATAAAGCAACTGTCTTCCTTATTAACCAGTTAGTTACACTAAACCAAAAGACACATTTTGCTTTATTAAAAACAAACTACTCTAAAATCAAACCCTCCATTCCCCCCAAAAAGAATCATTGTAGTTTACCAGTAATCTTGTTAAGTCGAGCTCTCTTTGCCTGAAAGGAGTTGCCTTGATTATTTTTCCTCTTGTTTGATAATGTGCTCTCTGGCTGTGGAAAGACCATCTTTGGGACGTTCTCTACATGAAGTCCTACTTTTAATAGAATATATATATGAGAGTTTATCTAGAATCCAAAGTTAAAACACATATATTTTTTTTAAATAGCAAATTACTAAAAATACTTTGCATTTAGTTTTTTTAATATAGTGCTTGACATAGAACTTTAAAAAACACAAATCTCTCCAGACCGATATTAATATATAAATAAACAACTACTAAGCAGTTATTCTTTAGGAAAGAAAAGCAGGAATCCAATGACTTACTGCTTTTTCCATATTACATACTGATATACATGCAGAAGCATTTAAAAAGTTAAAGAAAAAACACAAAAAAAACTAAAAAACCAAAAACTTACTACCCAGAAGTTACAAATTAAAATCTCAACTCATTTCTATTCAAGAATATTGAGGGCATCCACCATCAAGTACCCACATTAGACCATTAATCTTCAGATTTGTAAGATGCTAGAAAAGTTAACCATCATATTACCCTAGGGAAAAAAGCCTAATAATTTAACTATACATTCACAATACAGATAGCCAAGGGGTCTGACTTATTCACTATGTGAGTTTACTACTGCCATAAGGAATGAACATAAGAACATATTCTGTACCAAATGTTTCACTAGATGTGGGCAGATCTTCCTTCTTCTCAACTTCTGGTGTGGCTACAGAAGTTGCAGTTTCTTCCTTTTTTGAAGGTACTTTAAACCATTTTCTCTCCTCTTTTTCTTTATCTTTATTGCTGTTAGCGCTGGTTCGAGGTTTGTTCCCTGTTTTATTCTTGGCTGCAGCTGCAGCAGCTGCTTTGACTAAAGCTATCCAATCCTCCAAAGGAAAAACACAAAACACGGAAAGCATTAAAAATTAATCAAAATTTAATTACATGAATGAATAAAAACATGTATCACACTTTCAAAGCTACTTTCACTCACAAATATAAAAATCGGACTAACTATATCTACAAGGTAGATCATCAACCTGGTAGATTATCAAACTTAATAATATAATGGGTTAGCTGGATTGTATAACCCTATATAAAATAGAAAAATATTCAATAACAACTATTCCTTTGACATATTTTCTCAGGAATAAAATCTAAATAATAGAAGAAACCTATGACAAATGTGGAATATTATATGACATTCTGCCTTAGTACTTCAGAGTTTAAATGGTGAATTGTGTTTCTTTTTTGTAATAGGGCAGATTGTAAAAGAAATAAGAGAAAAATGATTATGTTGCAATTTTGCAAAGATTAAAAGAAATGTATTCCCATTGTGCAAATTACTATTCCTTATTAGGAACACTGTACCACTCAAAGTATGGTCAATTTCATAGAAATCAAGGTATGACTTTTTTTTTTTTTTTTTAAAGCTTTTGAAGTTCAGATACCAATTTATCACAACAGCTTAACAGTACTAGTGAAAGAAAAAAAGAGGCACTTGACTTGACCAAGATGAAGTACACACTGTCCGGCTCCAGGTTAACATCCTTCCCTCTACAACTTCCTGGGTCTGTGTTAGTTACCATTCTTCTGAGATGTGAATATTTATTTTTCCTGTATTAATTTTTTTAGTTTGTTGCTAAATAATTTTACTATTTATTCTTAACTAAAAATGCTTATTGTAAAAAATATGGAAAGATGTAAAGAAGTGGTACTAACATTTAAATTTTCACAATCAAAAAGATTTTTTAAAACAAATATTTATAATATCTCTACAGAGTTAATCTTCCACTGAGGCCACTAAGCTGTCAAATAGACCACCAATTCCAATACAACCATAATACATTAAATTCTTAGTTCAAGCAACTAAAAACAATTTCACAACATCAAATGCATTTCATGGGTTACAGTAACAAACATAAGTCATTAAGCAATACAGGTTGAGGGCTGCCCAGTTTTGAAAACATATGGTGAAGACAATAAGACATTAAAAACAAACAAAATCTCTCTTTCTCCCCCATGATTGAAATGAACTGAAAACATCATGTGATTGCACCTAACACATTCATTCATTTACCAATTTTCTATTGAATATCCCGTTACATATGCCAGGAACCATGCTAACCATTCATAAGACAAGAGGTGCTAAAAGATGCTGCCTGAAAACCCCAGGAACACCTCGGCCCTAGAGTGACCACATCTTTGCTCCTGCCTGGAAGACACCCAACATCTAGTTTTTCCAGTATTTTAAACCATATCCCCAATACATGTCTTATAAGAAAGTGAATTACGACAAAGTTGTGAAAAAAAGGTTTATATCTCTAGTTTGTAAAACAAACAAACAAACAACAACAAACAGATGCACCAGTACTGTCCAACCCCAGTTTTACTTACAGCCACTTCCTTTTTGGTTCTGCCCGTAAGGAATTGACAGGCAAATAAAATTAACTTATATGACAACGTGACAGAAGGGATAACATAGGGAAATAAACAAAATATTATGAAAGAACAAAAGAGAAAAGATTAATTTTGACTGAAGAGAAAGACCAGTGGAAGGCTTCAGGGAAAATGGTAGACTAGCTGAACCCTGAAGTAGGAACTGACCAGGGAAAAGGGCAGAGGAGGAGAAGTGAAAGGGCACTCCAAGCAAAAGGAGAACCACTCAAGAAAGGCACGGCAGCAGCGGTCCACATGTACACGAAGGGGAAGGGGCGTCCACAGGTCAGGGAGCAATCGGGGCGGCTAAAAGCACTGTGGCTACGTTAAGCCTTGAGACCTACACTTCAACAGTAACAACAGAAAGCACCAGCAATGGAAAAGACTGCTAGCAATCAACAAGGAGGAAGATAAACCAGAGCAAGCACAACCAGACAAGTGGAGAGAAGCGCTCAACTCAGCCGAGATCCTACGTCTGCATCCTACTAAGAGGAGAGCACTTAATTCTGGGTTCCACACTGCAGGAAAATTTTAAGTTGTTACAGAAATGCTGAAAAATGCCAGAGTTAAGTTCCATCCCTATTTTTTTTCTGTCTCCAATAAAGGAAAAACTAGGAGAAAGAGATTCATGTTGTACCTTGAAAAAGTGACATTAGATATAAAAAAACAGTTCTTGATCATATGACTTGTTAATCACGGGAATCATTGCAGTTGTGTGATTAAAGAATTCTCTCATTATTTTGCTCTTCTATTTTTAAATAAGAAAGATTCACTATCAAAAATAGCTGGTGTGGGGGCTGGCTCGGTGGCGTGGTGGTTGAGTTCACGCGCCTTGCTTTGGCATCCCAGGGTTCGCCAGTTTGGGTCCTGGGCACAGATCTACGTACTGCTCATCAAGCCACGCTGAGGCAGCGTCCCAAAGCGAAGAACTAGAAGGACCTACAGCTAGGATATACAACTATGTACTAGGGCTTTGGCGAGAAAAAAGGAAAATATGAAGATTGGCAACAGATGTTAGCTCAGGGCCAATCTACCTCAAAAAAAAAAAAGCTGGTATGATCCGTCCATGAATTAGAACTAATGATATGTGTCAAAGTTCGCTGTAGATAATAGTGTACTATAATGAGCCCAGTGTGAAATCAGATCTGAGTTTAGTCACTCTGCACATTATGGTTGAGTGAAATTTAAAGTAAATCACTCAGTTCTCTAAGTTCTGAATTCCTCAACTGTGAAACAGAAATATCAGCCGTACCTATGTCAAAAGATTTGCTATGAAAATCCAATAAAACAAAATATGCAAAAAATGTTTTATAAATAACAATGGACCTTATGAGCGAACTCACTCTTTAACTCTAGTGAGTTACAATGTAAATTCTGTATCAGTACACTCTCAAGGAGAAAAAGCTACAGAAAGTTTAGAGAAGAGTATTTCCATAGTGCATTTATTTGATGCCTTTTGTTTTGAAAAAAAAAAATTTACTGTTTATCTTTATAAAGGAATTCTCAAAGTACTCAAAATCTAGAAGATAATATGCAAAGTTGGTTTCTCTGAGCACTGCCCAAACAACACCTGATTTAGTGTATTTCCTAGATGAAAACAGGTCAAACAAAAACTTGTTGCGAAAAAAAGACACTCATACAATGAGAGCATTTTATAAAAAAAAAATTCTACAAATATTTTTAATGTGCTTATAATTAAAAATTATGAAGAAATAGGTAAAATTAAAAGAAATATACAGCTACTCATATTTTCTTTCAGTAGTTTGTATTTTGGCATTGATTTTTATGTTAACATACATCATGGTGTGACTAAAATACTTATTAAAAATAAACATTTGGGGCCAGCACGGTAGCGTATCGGTTAAGTTCGTGCGCTCCACTTCAGCTGCCTGGGGTTCGTGGGTTTGGATCCCAGGCACAGACCTACGCACCGCTTATCGAGCCATGCTGTGGCAGCGTCCCATATAAAGTAGAGGAAGATGGGCACAGACGTTAGCCCAAGGCCCATCTTCCTCAGCAAAAAAGAGGAGGATTGGCAACAGATGTTAGCTCAGGGCTAATCTTCCTCAATAAATAAATAAATAAATAAATAAACATTCAATACATCCAATAAATTAATTTTTACAACTTGTAATTTTACCACAAACCAAATTGGCTTAATGTCTCACTTTGGGAAAAAATAAAGTTTTAGGGCTGGTGCCATCTCACAAACATTTAAATAACCAGAATAACAAAATAATAGTTTGAAAACAAAAAGCACCCGAGAATTTTGTTTAAACAAATATGTATTAAACTTAGTTCCCAATGTTTTAATCAGTCTTTTCTATGCAGTAACCAAGAAATCACAACAGTGAATGCTTAAAAGAATACTTTATTTATACATACAAGTAGGAAGACACAAAGCAATTTCCTGATAAAAATCAAAATTTTAAATCAATTTAAAATGCATTTTAAATTGCATTTCCATATTAACTGGGGAAAAAAACCTCTGCTACCTGATCATTTCAAAACTAAATTTTTGAAAACAAGGTGATTTAAAACAATCACACTTCTCAGAAAACATCAGGGTTACTTTTTTAAATGCAGTGGTATGCATTTCTAGATTACTAAATGTATACACTCGACGGGAGCTAACCAGGTGATTTCAACACATTTCAGGATGACATTTTTCACTGCATGGTATGGAACAAATATGTAGCATATTTCTATATTAAGACATTTTTATAGATTACTTTCAACTTCTTAAAATTAATTGTAGGTCCAGGTGCTGAAAATCCCAAATAACAGCAGAACATAAAAGAAAACATTTTAAATTTCTATTGGCACCTTTTCTTTCCAGTATTTCAGGAAACATATTCAACCCGTGTAATCGTGGTTTTAACCTCATCCCAGATTCTCCCTCCAATGCTTACCGTTGATTCCTGCTCTGAGCAGTGCTTTGAGCAGTGACAAAGCATGTAATACACTGCTTACATCACAGGACTCAGAGAGCCCTACCTGAAACAGCCTACAGTGTCAGGTAAGCGCCTTTTAAAGGATGGTTAATGACTATGATTTATAGAAGGAAAGAAGAAGATAAGAAACTCAATATAAAATTTTATATGAAAAATTAACTTTCTAAATGATACTATATACCAGAAAAAACAAAACGAAATTAAGAAAAGGCACTTACCTCACTTCCCATAGACTGGGTACACGATCCAGCTGGGTCGATAGGACAACACCAGCTTAGTGGATGCTGGGATTTCACCTGGAACAGAAACTAGTGACCTATAACTTTAGCAGGTCTAAAACCAGAGAGGCAAAAATCAAGTGTATGATTTAGTTTACATTCTCAGCTTCTTTTTCTTGCTGCTATTTGGGGCTATCAGCACATAATCCTACAATTAGTTCACTTTAAAATGCACATATTTTTTGATCAGTCACCATTCAAGAAGAGATCCCTTTGGGTAGCTAGGAATGCTGAACACTCTTACCTGCCCCTTAGCATCCTCAGGCATGGCTTTAATGTGCATTCTTTTTAAACAACGAATTACTCCATCATAAAACTGAACTGTGAATGTTCCTGAAATAGGAGCAAGTCAGAATCATTAGGAAATATAATTCAGTCTTACAGCAACACTTGAAATCTAACAAGTAATGCCCTGATGGAAATACTCTCTGATTGCAATAATTGCAAACATACACCCCTGTTAACGATGCCATAAAATTTAAGTTATTTTCTCTTTCCCTCTTTTCCCTAAAAACAACTCTGATTTCCCTTAAAGTAAACCAATTAAATCTTGAGAAGTTATTTGCATGTAATTCTGATTTTTACTGAAGGATTTTAAAATTTATTTTGTAACAATTTAAATGTATGTTTAAATAACATGTCAGGTATGTTATTATATACCTGACAAAAATAAAATCATTATTTACAAAAATGTATAATACTTCTTAAGAATTATCATTTGCTCTCTTTCAAAGTTTCTTTCCAAATAACAGAGGGAAAGATCTGATATAGGGAAAAAATTATTTTCCAAGGAAAGGATTATTCCTTTGGCAATATTAATGAACTGGCAAATAAGAATTATCAAGTCACAGGCTTTTAAGCTAGAAAATACGTAACAGATCTAGAGTCCAGTCGTCCTGTGCAGATCAGAACACTGAATTCCAGGGAGGCTAAAGCTGCCTCCAGGGACAGTCAGCTAAGCAGCTGCCATAACTACCACACCAGCCCCACGCCTTTCCCACTAACTCCCCCTGCTTTTAAGACTCCAGATTCTATTTGCATGACTACTTGAAGCATATTCACTTTTTCTTACAGACTTCATGCTTTCAAGTCAATAAAAGTCAGTACTATTAGAAACCATATAAATCACACAGATTTTTATACTAACGGAAATTCCAATGTTTTTCTATCATTTCCTGTACAAATGAGGGCAGAGAGCCATTTTAAGTAAACAGATATTTGACTTTTACAAGAGAAGTATAAACAATAAATGTGATAATTGGTATTACTGGCTTTGAAGTTGGCATCAAAGCCAGTGACATACGTGCAAAGATTTTTTTTGTAACTTGAATAACACCATTTGATTACATATCTTTCAATAATTAGCTTAATGCACAATACCGCAGATACAAAGATCTAAACCTAAGTTATGAATAAAACTATCAGTTGACTATCAAGGATATAAAGACACTGGGAAAATTTTGAGACTGTCAAACCGTACACACACCTTACACTACCATCATTCCTGCAACTGTCCTCTTCCATCTTCAATATGGCATTCCAGGCAAGAGCAGGCTCCTCATTATGCTGACGTGCACTCATCCCTCCCCGCTGTGGCTCACACTGTGTCCTCTGTTGTGATCCCTTCCTCCTTTCCTAACTCCACCCCACTCTTCAAGGATCAGCTCTTCAAATCCCACCCATAATATGAAAACTTCCCTGACCTCTCCTGTCTACCCTGATTTGCCCCTTCTCTTCAACTTCTCTAAGACACATTACAAATACTTAAATAGTCATATTTGCTAGTTTTGTTTAGCTTTTGCAGTGAATAAAAGTGCTCCCTTTGTCTTTTTTTTTAGGGGGGAGGGGCTCATCCACCACATGGGGCATACAGAAATCACAAACTAAATATATCTAGTGGAGATTTTAAAGTTATTTATTTATTTAGTGTGTGTGTGTGTGTGTGTGTGTGTCTGTGTGTGTGTGTGTGTAGAAGATCAGCCCTGAGCTAACATCTGCCAATCTTCCTCTTTTTGCTGAGGAAGACTGGCCCTGGGCTAACATCTGTGCCCATCTTCCTCTACTTTATATGGGACGCCACCACAACATGGCCTGACAAGCGAAGCGGTGCGTCGGTGTGCACCCGGGATCCGAACCCGGGCCGCCGGCAGCGGAGTGCACACACTCAACCGCTAAGCCACGGGGCCGGCCCCTCTAGTGGAGATTTTAAAAAAGCAAATTATATCTGCTAACATTTCACTAAGGGCTCACTCAAACCACTTCTGAAATGACAGAGAGTACAATCAGTTCCATCACTCTTCCACTAATGTAAGCTTAATTTTCTAGATTACAAGCCCATGGACAAATGGGATAGGATAAAGAATGAGAGTGGTTTTGTTTCTGAGTGTGTTGTATGTGTGTATGCATATACTTCTATATGCATACTCCCAAGGAACTTTAAGCATGGAAGGAAAGTCCCACAGCTCTCCACACTTAAAGAAACCACTCAATTAAAATAGAGAGCGTTGTTTAATTTTGCTTTGTTTTGTTTTGGGTGGATCCTATTATCCAACAGAACTGATTCATTACTTCTTCCTTTCCTTCCACAAATTGTTACTGACTGCTTACTCTGTGCTAGGCCCTGGACTAGAAACTTGGGGAGCCCACGTGTATAAAACACAGGAATATGAGGTCTATAACACAGCTCTCCAGAACTCTAAGTGCACAGTGAGATGAAGGTCCCACTAGAAAAGGAAAAGTAACCTGCAAACCTATCAACTGAGATGTCCTCAACTCTTCTGGTAGTAAGGTGACTAGTGGTAATAAAATCATAGCCATATTTGTTATCTCAATTCACTAAAACAATAAATTCGAATAAGGCCTTCGTAAAGTTACATCATAATTTCTAGCTAGACAACTATGATTTACTTTTTCACAACTAACATTCTTTAATATATCTCTTTTCACATGTTTTCCTCTTCTATCTTCTCTTACCTCCTATTTTTTCTCAAGTTTGTTGTTAGTCTAAATCCTCAGCTTAAATCCCTTCCACGGTTCCCATCACCTCCCAATAAAATTCAAATTCTTTAGCAAGTTTACAAGATGCTTCATATACCAATCCTTGCTTCTCTCCAACCTCTTCTGTTGTTCTATTCCTTTTAAAGGAATCCTTCACTCCAGTCACATGGAAGACTTGCAGGTCCTAAAAAATGGCATGCCTCTCTTCTATTCTTTACATACACCATTTCTTTTCCCAGAAAAGCCTTTTCATTCCTTCTTTATCTAGCTAACTTGTTTGTCTTTTAAGATTCCATTTAAAGGAAGTGTCCCCTTACTGAGATTAATGCCCTTCTTGCAAGGAAGCTGTCATTCAATGCGTGTTTTAGTAAAAAGAATGAATGAGTGGTCAAGTTTAAGACATAATTGTAAAGAAAACATGTATTACTCACTTGAAAAATATAGTTACAAGTATTTCACAACTGTTTTAAACGAGCTTTTAAATAAGAAATTTAAAAAATAATTAAGTACATTTCCAATAATAATTTAAATATTAACTCTTATGCCATTCCAAATTAATTAATCTACAAGTTCTTTTTTTTTAATTCATTATCCATCCAATAGATTTACTCGTCTTATGCCACACTAACATACTGATTTCAGTGCTATTTTCAACATTTCTGATCAATTCAGTAACTTTTGCTCAGTGTCAATATTAGATACCAAAAAAGGCTATTAGGAAAATTAACTCTCAATTACCTACAGAAATTAAGAAAAAAGGGGTGGGGGAAAGCTGCAATAAATGAAATCCTCAAAATGCTAAAGGTGCCCACTCTTTTCTCAGAAAATATTGTACTGTATTTCACTTCCAAGTTGAACTGATTTGAATTTCCCCATTATGTTTAACCTTTCCTCACACTCTGGTTGAGATGCTCATAAAAGTAACTTAGCCCATAAACTGGAAATAGAGAGGTAGAAATAAAATGCATATAATACACCTGTGAACTGAAAGCTGAAAAATTTTAAACAACTATGTCCCTCTATTAATTTAAACAGTTTATTTAGGCAGTAAGTATATATTATGTACCCTCTTATTTTATACAACATACAACAAATGCTCCCAAAAAAGAATACTAGCAGGAAACTCATTACCTACAAAACGAAGAGAAGTAACAGCTATATGCAACAATTACGTACATTAGTTACAATTGTAAATACAACTAAATTTTATTATTAATCCCATTTTAACCTCAGATCATTTCAAATACGTACCTTCTTTGTTAATTGCTTCAATCTTGGCAGGGTAATAGCGACAGTCTGTCCAACGAGCCAGAACTTCTTCTCCAGCTTTAAAATCCTATTTTAAACAACTTTTAAGATCAATACCATGTATAAAAAATAAGCATTTTCTTAATAAAAACAAGCTTTTGTAAAATTTAACAGAATTCCTTTTAAAATATATCATTACATATCTAGCAAATGGAAAAAGCTTGCTACTTACAAAGAAATCCTCCTCATCTTTCAGCCCTTCTTTTCTTAATGCAGGTCTCTCAAGGGGTCGCAATCTGTTGCTATCCCAGTAAATCCACTCATCATAACGATGACTCCAGCGCTCAAAATGGACCAACATTTTGCCCTCCTCATAGTCAATTTTTTCAATTCGTGATGGATACCTGAAAAATAAAAAGGAGCTTCATACCAAGAGAAAAGTCTTACATTTGTTTACAAAAAGTATTAAAAAGTATGAAATATTGCTTACCATTAAAACCATAAACTATATGGGTTCATATTTTTAAACTATTGGATCAACAAAGTTTGCTTTATTATTTTTGTCTTTTTTTTAAAATGACTGTTCTCAATACCTAATGAAATAAACGCTTTGATACACTCCCAGTGGAAATAAAAATTACTGCACTGTTTGGGGAAGTAATTTGATAACATGCTTCAAGAGCCTTAATCATATTTCTACTTTTTGATCGAATAATTCCAATTCTGGAACTATATATACAAAACACTTATCATAATAACAAAGAAAACAGAAATCAACTAAAAATATGGTTAGAAAAACTGAAGACTGTTTAAAGCTGTACAAACAATGGTATATGCACTGACCGGAATATTACATAGTCTTTAAACGTGGTGTTTACAAAGAATTTATAAAACAAGAAAATGTAAAAAAGAGGTAGCACTATGTTCAGTAGAATTATAAGTATGTAAAACAAATTTGCCTGCAGAAAGTACCAACATGCACATTTGTCTCTATATGGCATAAAAGCACTTTGTTTTTCTATTTTTCTATATTTTTCAATATTTTGTAATGAGCATCAATGATGGTAGGGAAAGCTCAGTTAAACCTTAAATTTAAAAATACAAAAACATCATCACATTTTTCTGTCTTCAAGTGTGATGATTCTTATGTGATTAATTCGAAAATAGAAATTAGTTCACTTGAAACTTTTAACAAAGAAAACTGCTTCATCATTCCTACCGTATTAAATGTTCAGATGACTCAAATTTTTTTTAAAAAGTATCATTAAATAACCTTAAGACTTCAATAGCAGCACATGGTAGATGATTCAGCCATAACAGTTTATCTTATATTTTTGCTAGCTTTTGATAAATCTGGAATTTTTCTTCTCCCTGGGGAAAGTCGCATTTAAATATAAAGCACGACAAAGCTCACATGCCTGACATTTAGGAACTGATCACTCCCTGCTTGACAGACCGCTCAGGCTACGCCAGGCTTTTCACACAGTTCAAGGGCCCTGAACTGTTCCCTGGCATAGCTCCTTGCCCCACTTTGGATGAATGACACTGAATGATTTGGATTCTCAAACACACCATGCTCTGTCAAACGTCTGTGCTTTTGTACCCTGTTTCTTCTGCCTAGCCCTAGCTGCCCTTCCCCTCCTTTGTATACTCATCATTCAAGACCTAGTTTAACATGTCATCACGTGTGAAGACTTTCCCAACACCCCTCCCCCTGCTGCTCTCATTGTACCCGTCCCATCATTATCATCTCTGTGCAGGTTCCCTAACTGCATGCTACAGAGCATTTACAGCCCCTGAGACATTACTACGTGTGACACATAAAAGGGTCCCATGGTCAAATAAGCTAAGAAAATACTGGATTTAAAAAAGTTAAACTGGGGCAGGCCTGGTGGTACAAGCGGTTAAGTGTGCGCGCTCCACTTTGGCGGCCCAGGGCTTCACAGGTTCAGATCCCAGGCATGCACCGATGCACCGCTTGTCAAGCCATGCTGTGGCTCCATCCCATATAAAGTAGAGGAAGATGGGCATGGATGTTAGCCCAGGGCCAATCTTCCTCAGCAAAAAAGAGGATTGGCATCAGATGTTAGCTCAGGGCTTATCTTCCTCACCAAAAAAAAAAAAAAAAAAAGTTAAACTGTTTTTTTTTATTGAAAGACTTCTTGGTCTCATCAACAAGATGGAGATAAAGCATTTGCTATTATTACACTTAAATAACTACGTAACCCTTTTATCATGGAATATTTATTAACATTTCTCGAGATCGTAGAGATCTAAGGAACATGATGTTAGAAGCTACTCTGGCCTGTGAGCTTCAGGGAATAACTGAGTCATGTCCATCTTTGTCCCCCAGCAGATAGCACAGTGACAGAACACACCAGCCACTCAGGGAATGCTTGGCATGAATAGAAGTGATGTTAAAGAAAGACAATCTGCACACTTCTTCAGAACCAAGAAGGCTGTCGACTCAATTGTAACCTTAAGTTAGATCTTACTCGTTATCTTTTTTGGGGAGTGAGTGTGGGTGAGGAAACACTTTGTTAAAGAAAAGCAAAAACAAGAAAATGTAGGGAATTGACACACTCCCTGAGGTGCTCACGCCAACTCCAACCATTGACAATCAACGCCGTAAAGCTTGTGCTTTGCAGCGTTGCTCTGACTTGCTTTTGCTGCTCTGGTTTTTAAACATGAAAACTGTCAATAGCATTAAGTTGTCCCTTAGTTTACTTTTCAACATTCACTTGCCACTTAATAACTACTACAAAGAGATTTTTCCATCAACTATAAAAACTGATAAATTTCACGTTTATTACCACATCTTTTTAATTTTGAACAAAAAGTAACGGGTTTATTCTCTAGGTTCCTTTCAATTCTAAATGTGCTCATGCACCACACTATGCTGCAGTCAGTGATGAACTGCACACACTGCGGTGGTCCCATAAGATGAGTACCGTCTAGCCTAGGCGTGGAGTAGGCTATACCATCCAGGTTTGTGTGAATACACTGACGTTCGCACAACCATGAAATAACCTAGCGATGCATTACTCAGAATATATCCCTGTTGTTAAGTGACACCTGACTGTACACAACTCTAAATATTTGAAGCATTTCTCAAAGTGAGAACAGTCCACAGTAACGAGCCAAACACACCTTTACTGTCATAACATAATCGAATTCAGCAAAGAAGCAGAATCTGTTCAAATGACAAATCTCGATTGCATTTGTAAGTAACTTAGAGTTTTCCCAAAATATTTCAAATTCTGTTGGCTAAGAGGATGCCTGATGCAACAATCAGACTAAAAATTCTATTTTGGGGATAATTTACAGCATGCTACACTCTTTACATAAAGATCTAGAGATTGATATGTAAACTTTGACGAAGGCCAAGAATTAAATAAGGGACACAAATATCCAAGATTATTATCGATTTTAATTTTTATAATGTTTACTAATCAAATTTTGAATCTTAAATAAAAGTGCTCTACATATTACCATTATCAAGAATGTCCAAATTTCTGTTCATTCATTCAACATATATTTGGGCATCTAGTAAGATTAAGGCACTTGCTAGGCACTCTTGGTAGGTAAAAAGGAAACATTATTAACTCCAGCCTTCAAGGAGCTTAGCTTAGAGTCAGATGAGAGAGAGAAGAATCAGAATATTTACTAAGAGTCAAATGTGTGTTGGGCTCTATGCTCTTTCCTTACTTAGTGTCAACTTCTCTTTATACACTTTTACCTCACTGGATCCTGGTAATGATCCCAAGTACAGATAACAGTCCCCATTTAACAGATGAAGACTGTCCAAGAACACAGGTAGAGTATTCAAAGCCAAAACTAACTGGCACAAAAGCCTACAGGAGAAATGGGATAAGGCCTGTATCAAGGTAATTATATCATACTTGGTAAAGTGGTAAGAACATACAAAAATTTTATATAAGAAGCTATTATTAATAGTTTAGAGAAAATTGAGGAGTTCACTGAAGGTTCTTGGCAGACATTATCTATGTTGGTTTTGGTGGGAGACGTCTAGGATTTACTTAATGAACATGGTACAAACACAGGTAAAGTGTATACACAGAGCATAACACATTTATTCAGTCAATACTCATTTACTTAAAACCATCATGTGACTCAGGGTTAGGCAATCAGCCAGACAAGGAGGATGTGGTTTCTGTCCTCAAGGATCTCCTGATCAGGGATTAAAGAGGCACTTTAAGGAAACAGTTCCCTTTGGCTAGACTACATGGTAAGTAGTAAGGTGAATAAAGGAGAACAGTGGGACATCAGGCTGGACTAGTTAGCTAGGTTCAAACCAAAAGGCTTTGAAATAGCAAACTAATAAAATGACTCTTCATTCTACAAACAGGGAACCCTTTAAAATTTGTACTTAATTTGGTTATCAGTTACACGTCAGAAAAAAATCCCAACATCAAGATCTTCACATGTAAACTGCACAAAATGGCAATGTATCATATAGTCCTAAATAGTGAAATAACCTCCCTGTTCTAGCAGATCGTCCATAGTAATAATGCTTGGATACACATAGTGAATGAAAAATACTGCTGAACAGGGCTGGCCCTGGGGCTTAGCGGTTAAGTGCGCGCGCTCCGCTACTGGCGGCCCGGGGTTCAGATCCCAGGCGCGCACCGACGCACTGCTTCTCCGGCCATGCTGAGGTCGTGTCCCACATACAGCAACTACAAGGACGTGCAACTATGACATACAACTATCTACTGGGGCCTGAGGGGGACAAAAAAAAAAAGGAGGAGGATTGGCAATAGATGTTAGCTCAGAGCCAGTCTTCCTCAGCAAAAAGAGGAGGATTAGCATGGATGTTAGCTCAGGGCTGATCTTCCTCAAAAAAAAAAAACCAAATACTGTTGAACAAATGTATTCACAAATGCCTATATTGAAATACAGCAATATTATTTTGATGCATGATTTATGCTTTATTATAATTGAGTGTGAATGGAAGGTAAGATTTTTCTTGCTGAATTTGGAAGATATAGTCATAATGTTTTTGTTTTATCATTTTTTTAAAGGCTGAAATCAAGGAAAGCTGTTAAGAGTAAAGAACAGTGAGTAGGCTGAGTCCCAGACATTTATAAATGATTTGGGAAAAGATCTGAGAAGTGGGAGACGTGTTTCAGAGTTAAAACAATTAGGGATAAGAAGAAAAAGAACACCACAGTTGGCATCTCTCAAGGGTTCAAAAGAAAAAAATGGAAAGGCAACATCCATGCCAAAACTCTACATAGAGCTCTCTTACCCCTTATCATTATTACTGCAAAACAGCATAAAATTTCCACTATCAGCTTCCCTAGTATAATCCCACTTCAAAATGCACGCATTGCATAAATGATATTTACTTGTGTAGAAAATCAGGGATTGCCTCCACTGC